TAATGTACCAATGCTATATTTCAATGCTATATTTCTGTTTTCAATTGCTTATACTTCAGATGCTCCAGTAACTTAAACCACATGGCAGTCCAAGACCTTTGATGATTGACTTACAGGGAAAGTCATAGGGAATATGAACGTTACTTGTTCCGGTGCACGCAGCAGGGAACCTCAAGAGCAAAGCAGAGCCCGCTGCTGCCATCTTCCTGGGCCATAATTCACTGGCTGGCTATACTTACTTACATCTCCCACATTTTACTTGGAGACATTCTGATTATAAGACAGCCACATAACTGTGGATTGTAGCACTGTCTGCAATAGCCAAAGTAATCAGCCAAGGTGCCCAACAATATGCATGTGTGTATAATAAGTATAATATGTAATATGTATAATATTACACAGCCATAAAGAAAAATGAAATCATATCATTCTTCAGGAAAATAGATATAATTAGAGGACATCATACTGAATGAGAGAAGCCAAGATCAGAAACAAAATATCATACATTTGCACTGATACTGTGGAAGCTAGACCTAAAAGATACTATGTATTCATGGGCTTGGGTATACCTATAAATTTCTATTTACATGACTTTATATGGGGATAAACACAGAACATGAATCTAACTAAGAAACCACTTAGGAAGAGACAGAGAAGGAGAAAGAGAAAAGAAAAACAGTGAATGATTTTTGAACTACATTTCAAAAGAGGCTGAATATGGTTAAAATGGATTGTAGCTATGAAAATGGATCAAGGGGGACTGGGAAAGTGGCTCACTGGTAGAGTGCTTGCCTTGCATGCATGAGGCCCTGGGTTCTATTCCTCAGCACCATATAAGCAGAAAAAGCTGGAAGTGGCACTGTGGCTCAAGTGGTAGAGTGCTAGCCTTGAGCTGAAGAGCTGAGGGACAGCGCTCAGGCCCAGAGTTCAGGCCCCACGACCAACACAAAAGAAAAAAAGAAATTGGATCAAGGAAATCTGTTGAAATTGTTTTAGAAAGAGGAAAAGGAGAGGGATGAGATTGATTGGAATATATTATAAGCATGTGTAGAAATGTAGCAATGAGCTCTCCCTTTATATGACTAATATATGCTAAGACAAAATATTTGAAAAAGAAGTCTTAAACAGTTCTTCAAGCCCAACCAACCACTGCCTCTGAACAACTGGGAGGGAGGGCCAAGTAGATGTGAACCCAAACCTAACAACCATTATTCCAGCCCCTGTCATATTACTAGACTCTCTGCCGGGTGAACCTGGAAAACAGTGAGAAATGTCACTAATTTTAAATATTTGATACATACACATATAGAATAGATACATTATATATCATGATATATATAATATATCATATACCATATAAATAATTATATATGTGTTATATATATTCTATGCTAAAAACTACAGCCTAGAAGAGAGCTCTCTTCCCCACTTTTCTTAATGTCATTGTAGCCTTTTATCCACAACAGAACTTCTTTCAAAATCCTTTTAGTTCTAAATCCCTCGTTATCATTTCAGCCATGTACCCAGCATCTTTACCAGGAGTAGCTTTCATCCTGAGAAACCATGTCCTTTGCTTATCCAGAGACAGAGCTCTTCATCAGTTCAAGTTTGGTCAGGAGGTGGCAGGAGTCAGTTGCAGCTTCTGGCTCCACTTCAAATCCTCCTTCTTTTGGTCTTTCCACACATCTGCAGGGAAGTCTCAGCTACTCAAAGCTCTCCATGCTGCCTCAACTCCCTTATGGTATCTTACCTCCCCCACAAATCATGAATCATTAGTAGCATGTATCAATGGCTATCTATAGCAGCTATTTCTTAAGTAGTAAAACTTGAAAATCAAGATTATTTCTTGGTCTGTGGGCTTCAGAATGGATGTTGTGTTAGTAGGCATAACATCAAACCAAACCAAAATCTACTTCTGGGAGAGATGGTGTTATTTACCTAATTCGAAACCAGGATCCAGTGGGGTGAGTTTTGCATGAAGCTATACAACCTGTTCAGGTCCTGCCAGAAAAAGAACTAAGACTTTCTCACCTCTGCCTCCGCTTTGTCTGATTCCTACCATTTTCTGGGCATTTCTGGACCAAGTCTGGGGAATCCAGCTGCTCCCAGATCAGGCCACAGTTCAGAATCTGTTCTGTCCCAGGCAGGTCTGGATGATCTGTCCTGCTCCAGAGCCCTTGCCATTTCCTGTGCGCAGGCCCAGCTCAGCAGGGGGTGCAATTACCATCCGTGTCACTGGCATCATTGCAGAGGTACATTCAAGTGGCTTCTGCACTCATAGAATGCAAGTAAATACTGAAACAAGCTTCAGGTCCTCTCTGCATGAACAGGCATCAGCTAGTTCACAGCATCATGGGGGAAGAAAAATACCAAGAAAGAAAAGCCTGCATCTCCCCTCTGAGACGTGGCCAGAGGTTCTCTGGGTCCCTGACTGATGCTTCCTCAGATGATGAACAGGAGTGAAAGGCAATGGTTAAAGGCTGCTTAGGACAGACCAGGGCAGTGTTGGAACCAAGAGCTATGTGGGCAGAAAAGGTCTGTTTCTCATTGCCACCGCTGGCCTCCAGCAGGGAGATGTAAGGCAATGAGCCATCCCCACTCTCTCTCCAGGTCTGCCTGGTGGTGTGAACATGTGATGGCTGGATACAAACAGCTATGTCGAGAGCAGAGTGAAAGCAAACATTCCCTTAAGGTGGGTTTTTTTTTGGTTATTTGTTGGTGTTTTTTTTGAAACATGGTGTTCATTGAGAATCCATTTCAGTTCATTAAAAAGCCATGTCACTCTAGACATACACATCTCAAAAAATCAATTTTTTAAATTTAATAAGTATTTAGCAAACATGCCTATGTGCCAAGAATTAGGCTGGGCCCTGAGGGTATAGCTGTGAATGAGAAAGTTCTCGGGCTGTATGGGAGCTCAAATTCTAGCTGGGGGGCTGCCAGGGTTGAGGCATAAACCTTTAAACATACAAACTCTTTCTATCTTTGATGTCTATGAGGACTGGGAAGTAGACAGGGGCATGGAGAAGGGTGGCCTGTGCCCTCTAGCTGGACAGCCAGAATGGGCTTCCCTGGGGAGGTAGCATTGGATGAAGAGAGGAATGCAACATGAGTGGTATTTCTGGATGTTAGCAAAAACCCTGGAAGAACCCCTTGTGGAGTGTTTACTCCTATGCTACTTGCTAATTCTGTGGCAGATGCTGTTCTATTTACACACTCATCAGCCTGAGCTTTGGATCTGTTTTCTTGTCCAGGTCTCAAGGCTGGCAACTCCTTCCTGTTGGAGTCTCCTGTTCAATGTGAAATCTCACCGCAGGTGATGGGCATTGTGTTCAGTGAGTAAATGGAAGGAAGAAGGGAGGGAAGTGCACGGTGAGTTAGTGTGTTTGGTTCTAACAATACAAATATTCCTATTCTGTAATGGATATGGGTTTGTCTGGGATGGGGCTGGGCGGTTCTGCAAGCCTAGACTGCAGAGGGAGCACAGAATTGACCACTGGTCTCTTGCTCCCTGGACCTCCTCCCTGGAGGGCTCCAGACAGCTCAGCCTTCATTCCCAGTCCACAAGTTCTGTTCTGGCTCTGTGCTTTCCTCCAGTAGCTGTACAGACTTCAGTATCCATCCCTCAGCTGGGTGCCACTGGCCGTTCTGCAAGAAGTCTTCCCACTGGTCCCCATCCAATTCCCTCCCTTCTGCCCTGCACCTGTTGAAGGCTTGCTGTCTGAGTCAGGCTGAACAGCTCTGCCCCTAGTGGGAGTGGGAGGCAGGAAACTTCTTTTCTGGCAGACCAGTTAAGAGCAACCGCCACCTGCTCCTCTGCCCTCGGCCTTGGAGAACATCTGAGCAGCCAGCTCTGGATGAGAACTGAGCCCACTGAGCAGGTTAGATGCTGCAGCTCTGGGGCTCTGGGGGGCAGGGGCGAGGCTCCCTAGTGGAGAAGACCCTTAAAGTTGGATCTAGCCTTTATTGAAAAAGGGGGGATTGTCTCTAGACCTGCATGTGAGTGTGGGTGTATGCACACACAGTGAAGCAGGGCTGTGTGTGTCCTCTATGACAGTGTGCCTGTTAGTGGATCTAACTGATGTGTGGCACTGCCTTTATGGGTGACTATCAGAGCGCAGGTCTGTCACTGTGTGCCAATGCAGAGCAGGGTACAGCGCTGCTGGTAGAGCCCTGAGCATTTCTGTGCAGGGTGTATGTGTGTCTGTGTGCACATGTGTGTGCATGTGTGTGTGCCTAGCACTCCATGGAATCACTACATGTGTGACTCCGATTCTATCAATCAGAGTGACAGGACACGGTGTGTGTGTGTGTGTGTGTGTGTGTGTGTACCTGTCTCTGTGTCATAGCTGGTGTCTGAGTGGGATGGAACCCCAAGTGTGAGCGTGGGGGCGTCTGGTGATTCAGTGTGTATTTGTATCAGACTGTGCGTCTGTCACTCTGTCTGCATTTGGATGAGTGTGGTGGTGTGCTGGGTATCAGTGCCTGTGTGTGCGCGTGTGTGTGCGCGCTTGTGGGGTGTTAGCGCCATGGTGTGTATTCCAGGCAGTGTGGCTCCAAGGTAAGGCTGTTGCTGAGTGTGAGGGTGAACGTGTGTGCTGCACGGTGGGACTTCGGGCTCTGGCGTGGCAGGGCCGTGTGTGCGAGTCTCGCGGGCCAGGCCGGCCGCATGTGGGTCCCCGCATCTGCTGAACCGCGACCCCTCCCGCGAGCCGAGCGGGCAAGCACGGGCGCCTCTAGGACCCGGCGGCCGGCCGCTGTCCCCGGGCCGCGCCAGTGAGCATGTGCAGACCGGGAA